ACTGCACATCAATGTTGTCATCAATTGACAGCTGTCAAAACAGCTGACCAGTATCACCTGACCGTATCGCGGGCTCAGGTGTCGACCCATCAAGGTCGAGTGTTTTTTGAAGTTATCCGCTGACAATTTACTCGTTTTCAAATGATCGCAGGCTCACGTTTACTTTTTTTAAAATTCATATAAATATGTTGTGTTTATGTCAGTATCGTCCCGCACCATTAAGATTTTGATTTCAAACTGACCTCGGACGCAAAAATTCAGCCAGTTTTTGTAAAATACAGGCGGGGAAGACCTTTTCTTACCATGGTGACGTGTTAATCACGCTCCACGTTCAATTTTTATGCTCTGATTGGTTAAAATTTCACAGGTGAGTTCATGCATAAAATTTATGCAGCATCTTGAAAGTTGTTTACTTTGACGGCTGAAGCTGACAGAGTTTGAGTCAACTTGTGATGTTTTTAACTGTCTTTTTGCACTGGATGTACAAAATGAAATACAGCTGCTATCAAGAGTGTTCTCTTATTCATGGCTGGTTTGTTTATTGGGTTTTTGGTTGAGAAATGCGTCACTTGTCAAAGCCGCTAATCCGATTTCGGATGTCATCGTTTTTGTTTTTCACCTTGCTGGATGCGTACGAGAATTATAAAGGCTCAAGCGATCCTTGCCTTGGTAATTATGGTAAGCCTGAGTAATTATTGTATTTAAATATAATTTCATGAAGTCCAGCGGCGCAGTTTATGAAGTTAGTTTATGCACGTTTGTATTAAGATTTGACTGAGACACTGATCTGACCTAGTATGAGGTTTGATATAAGCTTAAGCTTACAGAACTTTAAAAAGCCTTCAGTCGATATTAATTCACCGTAAATAGAAAGAAAAGACTTTCCGAAGAATATTTAGTTATAATTTTGGCTGTAGAAAGAAAGCTTTGAGCGATTTTCTTGTCGTGAGTTCATCTTTGAAAACAGCAAACACCGGGAAACCGGCGGCTTAAAACATAAACTTAATCTTTAATCTTACTAGTAAAGACTTGAGGATTCTTAGAGACACTTAAATACTCATTTGTTTTCGTGAATGAAAATTGTTGTCTTTGTAAATGTTCTACCGAATTATATTTCTTTATTGATTGTTGGTAGTCTCAAAAGTGTAATTTTCATCGCTTTGCCGTTTGTTTTCAGCCGTTCAAAAACATCGCTTGCAGGAGTACTCAAAATCCCGAGCGTATCAAACGCTTTTTAAGATTACACATCGTTATAAAACCATTAATAAAAAATAGACTCAATAAATTCTTTATCACGTTGAAGGGTAACTCTTAACCGGCTGGCCGTATAGATGATTTTGGAAATTTTTTGAACGGTTTCGCTAATTAAAAGTCCACGCTTGCTTCGATGGTCCTGAATATTGAATGAATTCAATTTGTCTTGAAAAATTGTGAAATACTGCATTTTGTACGAGGTCTGTATGATAAAAACAGCGCCTCATGGTACTCACTTTCCTCAGATGTGGTGTATAAAAAAAAATAATAATAAAAGATTGGTTTGCACGCACCCAGATTTATTGGCAAGAATTTGTAAACTTGTCGAACGCAAAAAATTCGACCTGATTTGTTTTCCAAGAATTTGTTTTCCACGCCTTATCTACTGTGATCAAGAGCCATTATTGCTCTTAAATGTGACCGAAGACTATTTTTTGGGTGTACATATAAGGCTATATCAACTCCATACAAGATTTGTTTCACTCCAAAATCACTTAGCTTTTCCCTCAAAAGTCACATGAATGTGCCCTTAAGTTAGCTGATTTGTGGAATACAAAATTATTGTTTGATTTAAGTTATAAATTTATCAATGGGAGCTTCGCTTTTAGCCGTGGCTAAATCTATATATTATTCAAAATAGTCTTTAAACGTCATAATTAAAACCTGATTTTGAACTGCACAAGTACAAACTACTTTTTAAATCGTTTTTTTTAGTGTTTTTCTTTCCAAAATGCAGTTTAAATACGGTATTTAAAAGCATTTTAGCAACTCGCCAGTACTCTCTTCCCGAAAATATAGTTTAAATACTGTATTTAAAATGTAGTTTTGATAGCAAATATGTTTCAAATACAAGGAAAACCTGGGAAAATGTTATAAATATTATTCAAATAGATGTTAAATACAATTCAAGCTTCTAACGCTATTTTGGTTTTAGTCGTAAAATATAATAAAAATACCTCAAATTGTGGTAAAAAATTGGTAAAAACACTTTAGCAACTCGCCAGTACTCTTTTTCCGAAAATATAGTTTAAATACTGTATTTGAAACGTAGTTTTGATAGCAAACATGTTTCAAATACAAGGAAAACCTGGGAAAATGCTATAAATATTATTCAAATAGATGTCAAATACAATTCAAGCTTCTAACGCTATTTTGGTTTTAGTCGTGAAATATAATAAAAGTACATCAAATTTTGGTAAATAGCCTTAAACTACTTCACAGACAGTTTTAAAATACGGTTGATTAGGTGCGGATATTGCACTTTGTTTGTCAAGTCCGTGACGGGTGTCAATTTTTAAAAATACACCGCAAACAGTACCGTAAATTCTCTATTAAGCCCCCCCCTCCCCCTCCTCCAATCCTTATTCTTCACAAAAAATTTAACGATTAACGTGGACTGATCAGTTATGGTTTATTCATAAAAATTACCGAAGAACATGAGGCCGAAAGCACATTTTTGTTACTTTTACGCTCCCACAAGTGAATTAAATACTTTTGACAGTGACTTTAATTGTACAACGCTCAAGTCTACCCTGTCTCATACCAGAGTTTTTTTGCTACACACGTACAGGTGATGCGTTTCGCTAAATTAAATAAGCCCCCCTCTCTTTTAAGCCCCCCCCCCCCCCCCTCTCTATAGAGGATTTACGGTATTTAAAATCTGTTTGAAAATAAATTTTACCATTGAGGAAATTAGCTGGGATTTTTCGATTTTGTGAAAATTACGGAGAATATAGGACTGCCGGTCATTTAGTGTTTTGAAAACCTTGACCGGCATTCGAGCTGGAAAAAGTTAAGTGTCACAAACCATGGTTTCGTCCTCTGAGCCCAGCGTGAACCATTCTTGAGATCTATAAAGTATTTCATGATCGCTTGACTTTTCTTAATCGACATATGATAGTTTGGTTTAGCTGGATTTTTTGGATTGGTGAAATTTACTGAAAAGACAGGACTGCCGGTCATTTAGTATTTTGAAAACCTTGACCGGTTACCGGCCACATAGCCACATTTTATTATTTATTCACTGCGAAGTTAGCAGGCTTTCTAAACGGATGGTCGGTTTTATATTGTTGCTTGTCGTTTTATATTGCTCAAATTATTTAGGCTACAAGTACTATCGGTATTCGGTCAATGTTGATACGAGATGGACACTTCACAGACGTACTTGGTGGTTGTTGTGGTCTTTCTGAACATGAACTTCAAGGTAAAACTTAGAGTAAAATCACTTGTTTTGCTGTCAATCGAAGAGCCTTCAATTGGTCATTTTGATATTTCATTCCCTGCCCCCTTTTTTTTAAAAATCTATCTTTTACTGCTAATTTAAAAGCTGTAAGGTAGTGCAAAATGTTGGGTGAAAACTGTAAGGAGAGATTTTCCATGAATTCTTTATTTGCCTCGAGTTTCATATATAGCTTTCAAATATTCGCTTTGACGATGTTTTAGTAATTCATACTGAATTTGCATAAAGAGGTTTTAACTCTGCAAAAAGGCTCGTGCCATTTTATTGTCCTTTCTTTAATTTGCTTTGTGTTCGCGAAGTAATAATCATAGAGAAGCCAACAGTGTTCTTTAACAGACAAAACTAATTGCTCGTTCTCTGTTCAATTATATACATTTTACGTCAATGTTGACTCTTAAAAGAATACTTAATTTCTTAATAATGGTTTATTTGACTTCAGTCTATTTTTCGTGATTCAACTACCAGACGACACCTATTCATGGTAACGCCTTTGATACAGGTGTACCTCGTTCTAATTGCAATTTAGTTATATTTATTTGCAAAAGTATATTTCATTAAGTTGTTAGTTAAGGAGAGGTGATAACCGAATTTTGAATATGAAAGGTTTGCTGTCTTGTAATTTGAAAATTAGATCGGATTTTTGTTTAAGGTGAAAACTTCCAATCAGTCTGCGCTTTTCCTGTTTAAACAGCCGATAGCTGAACTTGCAATTTATTTCATACTGTAACACTTTGTACTTAAACGCTGTTTTGCTGACCTACCTAGGTCTTTGTCTCAGTACTTTTACTTTCTAAAATAGCAACAGTAACAAAAGATTTCAGGTTAAAAATAGAATTTGTATTTAGTTTTCATTTAACTCTAAGTGATTTCTGATTCTATTTCTATTGTATTCTTTTGTCTTCAATGGTTGTAAAAATCATATAATATAAGTAAGTTGCTTTGAACTGATTTTTCGATTACATCGCCGATTATTTCGCCGTGTCCTAGACGAGTTATTGCTGTTTGATCCGCGGAAGAATAGACGCTGTTGGAACCCGCAAAGTTCTGTTTCACCTACTACTTTTTCAGCTAATCTAAACTGTTATATGTCGATAAAGAAAAGTCAGTCTAGCGTTTGGTTTACGCTGAAAACGAAACCATGTTTTGTGACACTTAGAACTTTTTTCAGCTCGACTGCCGGTCAAGGTGTTGAAAACACTAAATGACCGGCAGTCCTATATTCACAGTACATTTCGCTTGACTTATCTTCATCGACATATGATAGTTTGGTTTAGCTGGATTGTTTTTGGATTTGTGAAATTTACTGAAAAGACAGGACTGCCGGTCATTTAGTATTTTGAAAACCTTGACCGGTTATCTGCCATATGGCCACATTTTATTATTTATTCACTGCGAAGGTAGCAGGCTTTCTAAACGGATGGTCGGTTTTATATTGTTGCTTGTCGTTTTATATTGCTCAAATTATTTAGACTACAAGTACTATCGGTATTCGGTCAATTGACACGAGATGGACACTTCACAGACGTACTTGGCGGTTTTTGTGGTCTTTCTGAACATGAACTTCAAGGTAAAACTTAGAGTGAAATCACTTGTTTTGCTGTCAATTGAAGAGCCTTCAATTGGTCATTTTGATATTTCATCCCCCCGCCCTTTTTTTAAATCTATCTTTTACTGCTAATTTAAAAGCTGTAAGGTAGTGCAAAATGATGGGTGAAAACGTTGCCCAAGAAACCAAGCAATTTCAGTTGTGGCTAAACCAAATGCTCACACGAAAAGATTTGTCTTGGGTTATAGCAGGAGCCCATAACCCGGAGCGTTCAACTGCCATAAATTCGTGCTACGGCGTTTTTACAAGTGAGTTTATTTTTAGATATGCTTTTCCCACGAAAAATAACTGTTCCACGAGGCCAATTCCTCCATTTGATCGTCGTTTAGACTGTTAGTAGCTCGCTTGGACCTTGTCACGGTCGGCTATTTCGAAGATGATTTCGATTTAATTCCCTTTACGTGAATTATGTGTTGTTGCCGATGAAGTACAAGTCCTGGCTAGGTTTTGCAAATCTTGCTTTGAACTGCTAGTTTCCGTGTAAATACTGAAATAATCGCTTGGAGTACTGTCAGAAGACTCCTCTGAAGATTCCTTACGTGTGTTTCAATGTGAAGGAGTTGTCCTAGTTACGTATTAAAGGTTTATCATTGATGACGCAATTGCTAGTGATTGGCTTTTCGAAAAGAATTCGCGGGAAAGGCTTATCTAAAAATAGACCTACTTGTGAAAACGCCGTTGCATAGACGCAGTATGGAAGTTAGACGCTCCGGGTTATGGGCTCCTGGTTATAGGCAAATTGAAGTGTTTACATGGAGAACACTTGTCCCGGGTACTTGGATCACCTTCTTTCGCAAAGAGGGTGACCCTTCTAGCCAAGGCAAAGTGAAATATCTCCTGTAAACGGTCGACATAAATTTACAAAGAAATTAGGCAAAAGTTTGCTTTCTCAGGGCCTCGGGAAGAGGATATCCCCTGTACCAGAAACGACGGAGCAGAAAAACCGTTTTTGGCCTAGCTTTTGTTATAAGGACATCTATCCGTTTTTATGCTCATGATTTTCTGTTTTGGGGCCAAAGAACGAAATATCAAATGCCACCAAAATCAATTTAGAAATATAACGCCTTGTACTTTGGGAGAGGTGGCAATTTGATCAGCAGGAAAACTGACATTTCTGTGAATATCTTCAAGTAGCTTTACTCTGGTGCGACAAATTGAAGGTTTTTCACAAGTTTGGAGCAACAGTGAAACAAATGAAGAGCTTATTGAGGGTCTGGATGGGGGGGGGGTACAAATGTCAGTTGTCAGTTAAAATTTTGGCCATTTGTCAGTTGTCAGTTAAATTTAAAGCAATTTGTCAGTTGTCAGCTAATTGGCTGTTAATAATGAATTAAGTAATTTAGTTATTTCTTTTTCAGAAACGTCACGCGATATTCAAACGAACCGATAAAATACATCATTGTGGCTTCGTTGTTTACTTTCGAACATGGTGGTTTTAACGTTTTGTATGGATAAACAAATGCAGGAAAAAAAAGTATTTCCAGCAGAAGTTTTTGTTGTTTAAGTGTCATTTGACGGCAGGAATTCCCTTTGGAGGAAAGTCAGTGAGATTGCTGCATCGGTTCTTAAAATGGCCTTCACTGGACGGAAAATCGGAAACTTTTCATCACCTCTTATAAAGAAATAAGTGATTCAATAATAGAGAAGGATAGGTAATTTAATTTCAACAAAAAGGGTTCTAAAATCTAAAAATAATCAATAATGAAAATACACTACCGTCAAAAAACCGACATGATCTACCAGGGCCAACATATACACCGTATGCAAGTGCTATGTAATTTCCCGGTCAAAATTAAATTCTGGCGGGAGATTATCCTGGCGATGACCTTTGCATACATTTGCTACGTAGGAGACCCTTGCGTTACATTTTTTAACAGGTCAGGCGATCACCCGGGGCCGAGGAGCAATCAGCCCCAGAAGCTAACTTATTTCTCAGTGGAACTTACATTTGCACCTTTATACTTATAAATAGTTCAATATGCATTTCAAGAATGGAATATCGAGTATGTACTTTCCACCGGAAGTGGACTTTTTGCATTCTTGGGCAAATTTTCAGGCAGATCGTCTCTATAAGAGTAATGACACTTATCAATACAAATGTGGTGGCGTCAAGGTATATAAAAAGGGAAGAGGTCTTGCTTCCGGTTGCTGTCCGTCGCTCAAAAACGCCTGAGCTTAAGTTAAACTTTACACGTGGCAAAGAAAACGTCACGCATTCCGCGCAATTTGAATTTTCCGGGCGAAACGGCTTTTTTTTGGGGGGGGGGGGGGGAATTTTCTGTTTAGAATATCCCAGTAGACGCAGGGAGAAAGTAAATTGTCATTTCGCAAACTACAAATTTTCATTTCGCAAACTACAGATTCTCATTTCGCAAACTACAGATTTTCATTTCGCAAACTACAGTTTTCCCGCCCGGTTTCGATGCCATCCAATAAAGCTTTATATCGAAATCTCCAAGGCCGTATTTAATTGTTAGTTCCTTCAGACCAAGGAATTGAATAAGGTGCTTTTTGAGAGCATGTACTGTATTTAAGTCATTTATCGGAATACGGCTTCCATGTCTTTCGAATGCCGTATCCGAATTAACGCGGTAAAAGCTTACAATCGCTTGCATTGGCAGCCATCATGTAAGCTGGCGCGTGCTCGGGTCATACAGTTGTCGGAAACTGTTGTCAGTAATATTTGATTATTATCGCTTTTTCAATTAGTGCTTTAAATCTGTCAAGAGCTCTATTAGCGAGACACGCAAGTTGTAGTTAACGCGAGAATCTCGTGACACCACAATCTCAATGAAACATTCCGGTATAGGGCGTATTGACAGGTTTTCTGATAGATAAGTGAAACAATGTATGTGCGGTATTGTATATCTTGAGAGAACAAATTTTACTTTAGTGGGTGAGAGAGATCTTTAGGTCGTGTAATAACCAATAAATTAGAAACCGAGAATATCTTGTGTTTTCAATTTCCAAAATAGCAAATTATTAACGAAATATGACACTCAAGCGTCCCGCTGCTAAGTTTTAATATAAAACTTGCATTTGTTTGACGAAAAGAGTAAAACATTGTTATTTACAACGGGTTTTGAAGGATATTTAGGGCAATAAGATCTTTTGTCAGTTGTCAGTAAAACCCTCTACAAATGCCAGTTGTCAGTTAAATTTTAGCCTATTTGTCAGTTGTCAGTTAAAATTTTGGCCATTTGTCAGTTGTCAGTTAACCCCATCCAGACCCTCCTTATTGTTTTGGCGCATCACTCCCAGTTAAAGAAAAAAAGTCGTAGAACTTTAGCGGCCTTATCACTTCTGCTCTGCCACTTGGGACAACTTTTTCCCATGTAAACGCCCCCTAAACATCAGAAGATTTGTACTGCTCTCCAGGCAGAATTTTATATTCATCCTCTATTGATGACAACTTGCCAAGATGATTGATTCTTGTTTTTTAGGGTTTTGGGATCAACGCGGAACATTGTAACTTCTTAACTTCCGAAGAAAAAGCGGCCTGCTTTGATAAAGGGTAAGAAGTCATGAATCTTTTTTCCGATAAAATTTCCGGTATTTCTCCTCTCTGTATAGTGACGTCATCTTCGAAAAGCGCGAAAAATAAATTATTATATTAAGAAAAATAAGTTTTTTGGAATGAGAATAATTTCGATTTTTAAATGAATTTATGCAGATGCCTCATCAAGATTTCTGGTGGAGAAACTTCCGGTATTGGTGGAGCCTGGGAACAAAGCTATCTCTAGTACACACCAGGCCTCCTCTCTTGCAATTATACCTTATGTGATAGATGCGAGTTTTCCCTTTTTCTCCCCAACTCCACCGACAAGCTTTGCTTTTTTCTTTAACCCACCGTATCGGTTTTTCCCCTCACCTTTGATAAGATCATTGTACTAAATAAGATAGGGCATCCTTTACGGGTGTTATAGACAATTTATTGCCTAAAATAAAGGGCCACTTAAGTGGCCCAAGTTTGCCAAAACTGGTGTACCATTTGTATTCTCATCAAACCGAGCTTCGCCAATGCAATCTCCCTGCTCTTGAGTAGCAGGCGGCATAAAGGTAATTTATTTCACGGAAGTGAAATAAAACATATAGCAAGAGAACCACCCAGCACTATAATCGATCGTCTAACCTTAATGTGTGAACTTATGAAAGGTTGAAAATCACCAACTACACGGGGCAAGAGTTTCTGTTCTAGATAAACAACATTAGCAATAATCTTCAGAGGCGGATCCAGGATTTTTTAAGGGGGCAGGTGTTGCACCTCCATTTTTTTTTTCTTTTCTTTCTTTCCTTCTTTTTCTTTTCTTTTCTTTTCTTTTTTTGAAGCTAGAAGTGCACCATTTATGATCGGGACTCGATCACCAAATGAGTTAATAATATCAAATCCTTAGTGACCTTAAGCATCGCCTGCACTCCTCCCCTAGATTCGCCTTTGTCACAAAATTTTTAAATTACTCATCCTTCTATTCCCTTCCATTACATATAAAAGAGCCTTGAAAAAGACAGATGACGCCGGAGATGTAGCATGGATAGAGACCTGTGTAGTGAAGTACTTTTGCTTGCAGCCCCTGCCAGGGCAAGGTCCCAAAATGTTCAAGAAACCACAGTTTGAAGAAGAGATGAAAAACTTCGTGCCCGATGACTATTTTGAGGTAATATTGAGAGTATTGCCGGATGGTGATCTTACCCCTATTACAGCGCTAGCTCTTTTGGTCTCCCATGAGAAAAAACAATAGACATGTTCCTAACAATAGAAGGGGCACCTTACCTTCAACTAAACAGGGTCTCTATTTGAATTCAGTTTCAGATATTCCGCATCCGAATTTCTTTACAATAGACCTTCCCCGAATTCGCTTGGCTGATTACGAAACAATGGTTCCAAGTCGAGACTGAACTTGATTCTTTTATTTATCAAGGCCTACCTCGACTTGAAACCATTGTTTCGTGATCATCCAAGCGAATTCGGGAAAGGTCTATTAGCATCAAGATAGCTCTTAGGTAAAAAATGCCTCAACCAAGTGAACCTGTAAATGATAGTTTTGGCGTAAACGGTCGTAGCAGCGGTAGCAGTAGTAGCAGTAGCAGTAGCAGTAGCAGTAGTAGTATAGCAGTAGCGGTAGCAGTTGTAGTAGCAGTAGCAGCAGCAGTGGCATTAGTAGCAGCAGTAGCAGCAGCAGATTTAATTTAATAACCAGTAGTAGTAGCAGTAGAAGCAGCGGTAGCATCTTCTGTTAGGCCGAGAAGGTGAAATCCTTAAAGGCCCATAAATGAATTAATACGTTTGTACTTAGTACGCAGCCACAAGAATCGAGAATTTCTTTCTACGTAACCCGGACTGGAAAGTAACCAAGGCAAACCCAAATTACAAAGCCAATGGCTGCGTGAAGCTTCTCGCCATCACCGAAGCTCGATACCTGTACGTTACCTTTGTATTGTTCATGCAGAGCGCTAAATCACTTACTGCATGTACTCAGGACAGCAATGGCAGGTACATACTCCCCACAGCCGTGTGCTTCCCTCGACCCTACGGCAGCGCTACTTGTACATCGGATTACGATGTGGGATTAATTGGACACACCTCGGGGATCCTGACGGCCGCGTTCAACGAAAATTTCCGGGAAAAATTCAACAAGCCGTCAGAAGAGGTGTTTGATACCAACGTCTATGCTTACACTCTGGAATACGCCATGCCGGAACTGTTTACTGGTATGACAGGATACTTTAAGAATATTGTGCCTTACTTGGATCTAAAGCCTTGGTATCAAATGCAAGAACTTGCCAGCGCATATTTTAAGGTAAAGAGTTGAAGGTAGAATAACTCAAGAATGAAATGTTTTAAGGTAATTCCGTACAAATAAAACCCAACATAGATTTTTCATGAAACTTGGTACAGTTATCAATGGAAACTCGTTAATTTGAAAACGAAATAAAAGTCAAGGTCAAGGTCAAGGTGTTCGTTTTTAACCTATGCGTTGGCAACTCAGATTACGTCATTCTGGTGGAGTACAAGAGCATTATTGATGGCAGAGGGAGGACTAAGGAGACTTTTTATCGTGATAACTGTTATATAGTTCTTGCTGACTAAATAAAATGTAGATGTTTCAAAATAGTGACTAAAAAGTGTTTAGTCGGACGTGCTTGACAATATATTGTTCGGCAACATTGCTTTTACTCCATTTCAAGTCATATCCGACGTAAAGAAGAGAAAAGTGAACTATCAATGTTATGCGCAGTAGAGGTGCGCGGTGCGAAACTACGGAATTAACTTAAAAAGTTAATGTTGTTCTTTCGTGAGAACGTGATTAAAATAAGCTGATCAGGGATTACCCTGACTTAATTAAGCATTCTTGGGCTATTCAGTGACAATGCTTCGAGGTTCCCCTTTTAGACTTAACTTTTCTCGCTAGAGAAGTTTTCGTATGGCTCTAAAGAGCGACGTCACGCGGCACCGTCTGTACTGTCGCAATTTGTAATAATCATCGCACTTTGTAATACCTGTCGCAATTTGTAATAAATCCATCGCAGTTTGTAATAAACCGTGTCGCACTTTGTAATAAAAAAGCTGTCACAATTTGTAATAACAGTCCATCGCACTTTGTAATAAACTAAGCTGTCGCAATTTGTAATAATTCCATCGCACTTTGTAATCATTTTTGGAGAGTGATTCAACTTACTTCGTCAACATTAATATAATGCCAAAATATGCATGGTACTTCATAAACAAAGATGATGACGTCTGCTAGCACGTAACATCTCCGTAACATTTTCTTTGGTCTAACATGCATGTCTTCCGCTATAAATTTTTCTGCCTTGATTAATCACGTGACCAACTAGAAACGCTTTATGAAAGACATGAAACTTCCTGTGACATATCATCAAAAAGACATGAATAACCTCGCATTCGTCGTCCAAATCCATGTTTGCTTGCCACGTGACACGTGAAGTCTTCGGGGGGGGGGGAGGATAATCTCATATATGGATGGGCTAGATAGGTAAGTACCGCCTGATAGGGTATGGTTTTTGAGGATCTCGAGCCTTTAATAGGGTATCATTTTTTTACGTTGTTGGCTTTGTGTCTTTGGTTTGATCCTTAGATAGGGTAACTCAAGTAGTAATGAATGGTTTATTTCATCCTTTCCATTTTGTGGAAAAACAGTAATCCAGAACACGCTCGGAAGAATTGCAAGGTCCTACGAGTTGTATATACGCAGGGAAGGATACTTTTTTACTATCCCCATGGTATTTGCTTTAGAGGACTCCTTATAGAAAACAATTGTTTTAAGATGGAATGAGTACTCCTTTTGTTCCTATATGGGACCAAATCAAGTGAGAATAATGGACCAAATGCCCAGCCGGCTCAGTGTAAGACCCCAAGTGAGTGTTTAAAAAACAGGTACATACGAAGGTATTCACGCCAGCGACTAATTGGATTTTGTGTTTAGGTTTCTGTTGTGGTTCGACGGTTTGCCACTGGTGACGTTTTTTTTTGCATTTGCAGTAAACATTTTGAATTTTTCTAGGCCTCGTTTGATTAAGTTGGCCAAAATATGGAAGCCACTATTACTTCTTTAAGATTGCGCGTTAGACAATTCAAGGACGGTGCACCACGTGTTGTGTCGACCTGTTATAAGATCTAACAAGGAAAGCTTGAACTCTCCTCTTGTCCTTATTCGAATGATGTAGGATGGATGTTACGACTTTCGGAAATTAAATGCTTTTCAATAATGGCTCGTTTGTGTCTAGTGTGTCTAGCTCTGTCTAGATCCTGTACTCTGGCAATGCTCTGTCCAGAGGCACATCCCCGTATTGACCATATAAGGAAGTACACCCGCCGGGTAACCATTGAATGCAAGCCACCTAGTACAATAGCAAGGTTCAAGAATACAGCATTTCGTAAGTCAGATAACTAATCAACATCAATCTAGAAAAATGTTTAGGACTGTGAATAAAGTTAAATGTTTGAATGAGCGGAGATGTTACGTGCTAGCAGACGTCATCATCTTTGATTATGAAGTACCATGCATATTTTGGCGTTATATTAATGTTGACGAAGTAAGTTTAATTACTCTCAAAAAGTTATTACAAAGTGTAATGGAATTATTACAAATTCGACAGCTTAGTTTATTACAAAGTGCAATGGACAGTTGTTACAAATTGCGACAGCTTTTTTATTACAAAGTGCGACACGGTTTATTACAAATTGCGACAGGTATTACAAAGTGCGATGAATTTATTACAAATTGCGACAGGTATTACAAAGTGCGATAGTTATTACAAATTGCGACAGTACACCGTCACTCTACAGAATTTAGAGTAGTCGTTCGTTGATTGTCGAGTCGCACGAGATTCCTTCTTATTCAATGAAGACACCATCGTTGCAATGGTACGGCACGTCTGTTCCGCGACTTTTCCACATAAAAACCGTTTGTTGACAGATGGTCGTTCTAAGTATGAATATTTACTTGCTTTTTTAACTCTTTCAATACAGATGTATAAATTCAGAGACTCGTTCTACAAAGAACTGAAAGACTACGCCCAAGCCAATCTTGGAGGGCTGGGAACAGTCAAGTCTGTACCGGATCGCAATCGGTATTTTACGAAGTTAATCGAAAAGCTTGAGACTTGGGATCAAAACAAGACGGGAGTCAAGAACATCAACGACTTGAGGGAAGAACACAACAGGATATACGAAGATATAGTGAAAGACGCTAAAGATCACTTTGACAAGAGGGAGAGTTATCAAGAAATTGTTAAATATATGTCAGAGGTAAGATTAGTTATTGATTATTAATGATATGACATTGAATTTAAAGGTTACAAGCAATCTGTCGTTATTTAGCTGCATTATTGACCTTTTCTCAATTCAGCTCATGGTGATGAAGCTTGGGCTAGCTTCCATACAATCAACGAACAAAAGGTGTTTATACTAGCTAGACCACAATGCAACATAGGCTTGTTATCTCAAAAATGCCTGTGCTCATTTTCTCCCCCTGTTATTCACTGTTTCTACTCACAACGCCCTCATATTTTACCTTCTTACCTTTATTTGTTTTACCTGCATAAATTACGAGTCTATTTCTTTGGGTAAGAGACCATTTTGGGCATGGAGGAGGGGCTGGCAGGTTTCCAGAATGTGTGTATATGGATATTCACACCAACCCCTCTCCGTTTACATATTTTTTACCTAACTCCCAATCTACATAAAAGATTGTTGGCATGCGTCCGATCCTCAGTATGACCAAAATTTTCGGCTGACCCTCCCACTTTGGACCCAATTTCTACCCTCCTAACCCAAGAGTCGCCTCCCCCCACCTCCCGATAAAAATAGAAATATAAAGCATTTACCCTTCCCCTATGGGCATCGGCCCTCTTCTCCCCGGCCCCTCCCCCTAAGAATATTAGTCCCTCCCACCCGCCGCACAAACACAGTGATAACATTGAAGAATGAGTTGACAAGAAATGGCGTTTAATTTCTATGTGGTATCCCTAAAGGCCCTGACGTATCTATGGTTCCTTTTCCTGAATCAGAGCTATCTTGCTCTTTTTGTGAATCGAATCCGAGTCATCTCGAACAGGATTGGGTTTTCTAAATATTTGCTTAACTAATCATTATGGGTTAATAAACTTTTAAGTTCCTACTGGCATTATGTCAAATAGAACAATATATTTCCTTCACAATGATCACCCACAAACGATTATAGTTATTGTAAAAATCATTTGATAATATGCTTGCTATATCAAGTTATTTTGTTGAAAATAACGGTGACAATTATAGCACAATTTAGATTCTGTTTTTTGCTTGACCAACTGCTATAGATATTATTATTCTTTCAAATGATTTGCAGAATCCTAAAAAAATCACAGCATTTATGGGAGGGGGCGTAAGGGGGGTACGAATACCGCAATACTGCATCAAAATTTAGCCAAATACCGAACCCGCATTACAAATGGCAAAAAGTTGAAGTTGTCAATACTACAAATCCTCCTTTCAAATAGAAATAACACTTTTATGTCAGTGTTTCCAAATCACGGTGAGTCGATGTCAAGCGTACTTTAAACGTAAGATCATTCATTTTATCAAGAGACTATAAAGGGGACAGAGAGGGCATCCCCCATATACACCCTATTCCATAGGTAATTCGTCTCGAGTTATTTTTAACACCACAGATCTCAAGGGGGATTAGACAATAGCCAATCACATAGCGCGAATGTGTTCCGCGTCCTTCACGAAATGACGCAGAACAAAATGAGGGAAGACGCGGAGAGCGATTTTGCTATTCCTTTTGTCGACGAAAACGACTACAGCGAGATTTCTGCGAAAGCGAAACCGAAATTAAAAAAGAATCGCCCTAGAGCAGTAGAGCAGGGAAATCCTTAATACACTAAATATTCTCTCATGATCATTTATAATTTACAGTTTGAAGAGAGCAATTTCTGGTTTGATGTTTATTTTTTTCAGTCTTTATAGCGATTATTCCTACCCACTTACTTTGTCAATTGTAGGCGAACCCTCCTAAAGCTGAATTTCAAGGGACCATATTCAAGCTCAGAAAGAGAAATAAAATTTCGTCGTTGCTTATTTACGTCCTCCATAAAACGCGAAATTAGGCATTTTTACGTCGTAGTCGTGCAAAAACCGGAAAGAAATGAACAAAAAAGTGTGTTGCACGTGCGAAGTTGTTGTTTTGCTAATTAAAGCTATTGTTTTTTTGACGTTCCAGTTGTGCGTCGTTGGATCTTAAACTCCCTAAATTGTACAAACGACCGGTTTCAATAGACCGGCGAAATTTCTCATTTTATTAAAGCACTGAGGTTACGACAACTTCGAGTTAAACTGATTTCACGGGTTGTCAAAGAGTCCAGCGATACCTTTTTCCCAGGTAAGCGCAGACTCATTTCGCTTCAATATTCAGGAATGCTCTCGATCTTTTTACGCTTTCGTTGCCTCTCGCCCGACATGTTTTGCACGGCGTTTGGTCATGCGAAACCTCCACGAAACACCCACGCCTCGCGCGAGGTAACTTTATTCCGATTCTAAAAATAACTCGAGACGAATTACCTATGGAATAGGGTGTATATCGGGGATGTCCTCTCTGTCCCCTTTATAGTCTCTTGTGATACAACAGGAGTTTTCTAGTATTACTTTATATATTACCGACCTGGATCATAAACGGACGGAAAACAGTTGACTCTTACGAGGTTGTTTCAGATTCACAATTACCTCGGTTCTCTGCTGAGGGTTTCAAAACGTCGACCCGGGCTGCCTTTAGGATTCGAAGGGCACACAGCACACACCGGCCTGCGTAGCATGGCGGTTTTGGTTGGACGCGCTAAATAATAAAGGCGGGCGCGGGCGAGGAGATTGAGACGGTAGCTGCTTCGCCGCACACAGTCGTGCTGCCGACAAAATCACGTAAAACTGCCATGCCCCGGGGGGCGGGGGTACTTAGGTTAATTTTTTGCTTGGTATGTGCCACTGGCCTCTCAGAGCCCCTACCCCATTATAGTCTATTCTGTGGCCAATTATAGACCCCATCTTAGTCACTTTTGGACAAATTAATATTTAGCTTTCGCGATCCAAACTTAGTCACTTTCTATCTTTATGAATTGACCATTTTTTAGATTGAATGAAGAGCACTTTACTTTTCATCTACAATACAAATATTCTGGTACGTTTGCTAACCCTAAATCTGAAGAACTATCTTACGCCAAAAAAGCAGAAAATGTGTGACCCCATTCTAGTAACTCTCTGAAAATGCGACCCCATTATAGTCAATCCAGTCTTGAAAATGCGACCCCATCCAGCGACACATTCCCATTGGCCTCTTATAAGGAAGTACCCCCACCCCCCGGGCCGCCATGCTACGTAGGCTAAGCACACACGAATACTAGCTCATTCTATATTCCTGCATGCACAACGAGAAGGACGAGTAGTAATTTTTAGACCACACCATCTTCATAGATTATCTTTCGACGCTACGCAATTTATAACGACCTCACTGACCTCACTATTTGCTTGAATATCTGGCTGATCACTTAGTTGACCCTCTGGATCGCTCACCATTGTTTTTGCGACTGGCACGAAAGTGGCGGTAACATTGCTAACGAGGTTAACCAAGCTGACTATTCCCACAAGGTCCATGAGGTCATAAATATAGTGCAACATGTTTACGTATCATTGGATCAAAAAGTTAATGTCTTTGATAGAACACCGATTTTCCGTCGATCAGAATGTGTCTGTTGTTCCATATAACTGTGCTAGATCTGGAAGAGTTACTTAAATTAAGGATCTGTTCCCTTACAGACGCAGAGTGTTCAGAGAAGGTTTGTAAACATTCTACATAAAATTTGGGTAAGGTGACTGGAAGTTTCTTAACGCTGAAATTACAGCTTAAAAGTAGTCTACCTCCGACCTGTCTTAGATAATGTGAAAGAATTATTTTCCAACTGCTTTGCTGAAAATTGGCGAATTTTTTACAACACAAAGGAATAATCACGCTAGAAAATCTTGTGACCGACACAAATGTTTTACTAATCAAGCAGAATCCAAATGGGTTACCTTTCACACCTCTTGAATGGTTTCACTTAATTCAAATTTTTGAGGCCCTACCAACTCAATGGCGAAAATCCTTGACATCTTGCGGACCCAAAAGTGGTAAAACTTTTTTTTTGTATGATCAAATTAAACTCTATCTTAAAAACCAGGCCGTACAGATCGAGAGCGTCCTTTGCAAGAATGTTTATTCTGAAATTAGAGCAGGATATGAAACCAGACCAACTAACTGCACAAGCGAGATTTGAAGAACAGTTTCCTGATATATGCCTTGATTGGCACGATATTTATAAATTGCCTTTCAATGTTCTCATAGACACCAAATCTAGAGAATTCCAGCATAGAATTTTTAACATGAATGTCGTAACAAATGTACTTATCCTTCCTTTAAAGTTTTTTTTAAATAAAGTCAGTTATGTTCATCAGTTAGAAAAGAAACTTATGAATTCAAATAACAAAGTTACCGATCAGGAAAGTAAATGGGAAAAGTTTCAGCTATTCTGCCGTGGTAGTGAGAATTAGAATGCAAAAAAAAAAACTTATATCCTATTTTATATTAGTAATTGTACCTAAACAGTCTTTGGGTCAGCCATTATTTATGTATAGTAGGAAGTGTATTTTGTGTACTTGTAGTAGTGTTTTATTGGTATAGATGTACTAGTGCTTGTGCAAAAAATAAAGGAAAAATTAACAAAAAAATAAAAATAAATAAAAAATAAAAAAGCTAATGTCGTCAATCATATCAAGTATTAACTGAAATTACAAGCCATACGATTTGTCTGCACTGTTTGCGTAATACGATCCCCGACTGTGCAACTATACGAAGACACGCAGGTCACGCAGGCTAGCTAGGGAGACCTTTTAGGATTTGTATCCTCTTGTCATGAAAAAGAAGCAGATCACTGCGACACTTAAGAAATGGTAAACGTGCAGCGTGCAACCATGGAGTTATGGATGCACGCGGGAGGTTGCTAAGCAAGAAAGAAGCGCAAGAGTCGCACGAGGCGATAGCCGAGTGCGACTCTAGCTTCTTGAGTGCTTAGCAAACCTCCCAAGTGCATCCATAACTCCATGGTTGCACAGCTGCAACGTTTACCATTTCTTTTATAACATAGAGAATTAACAGCTTCCATTTTGGATAGAAATATTTATTTAATACTTGACTTTAGAGCCACTTACATGAAGTTAGAAACATACCCGCAATCGCGCGAAAATTTTCATTCAAAAAATGACAAAGCTACACCTTGGCCGTGTTTGTCGATCTCGGACAAAAAATACAATCATACAAACTGCCCAGCAAACAAAGAAAGCTATCGGTAAGGACCTTATGGGCTCAAACAATTAGTTAAATTATGAGTGGTTTTCCGACGAATTAAAGACGAACTGCACGTTTTGAATGCTGCAATCTTTAAAAAATGGAGCCACTTCTCTTGCAATATTGGAAGGAGCAGAATTTCCTTCTTATTGTGAAGGACAGCTAACACGGACTGTGGATTGCACTGAAGAAGAAGATCTTGCGTATGAAGCTTCAGTGACTGCTAGCGCCCTTGACAGCACATCACTCCAATTTTGAAGCTGAGAAATCGACGGCCGCGAGTTGTAATGTGCCAAGGATTGCTCATTTCGATGGCCTGAAATTGACATGATGTGTCGATTAGGGACTCCAGCATTGGACCACAGGGTTATGGCTGTTGCTCGTATGCTGTGGTTTGTGTATATGGTTGAGAGCTCTGCCACTTCGCTGATTTTCTTCATCATGTTGGCGAGGGTGTTAACGCCCAAAGGCCTTAGCTCGAACCACACGATGTCTTCAGGTCTAACATTTGACTTCGGATACTGGAAAAGCGCACTGCACTTCGGGTTGATCTTTTCAAGATAGAGCTTAAGCGCCTTGTAGCCATCGTCGCTTTCGGCTGATTCGTACATTCTAGCTTCTTTCTCGTTGCTGGAAGAGTCATGGACACCACCTGGATGGTTCTTCGAAGCTTCATCATGGGCCATGGTTACAAATTTACGCCCGGCTGCATCGGTTGCAAACTTGAAGCTGTTAGTGGTGAGAGCTCTTTGCCCTTCACGGCCTCTTCGGCAGAAGAAAAGGACAATATGGAACCATACATTTCTAAGAAAAGAAAGCGGGGAAGAAAGAGAAAAAACGCCACTGGTTTTTAGCTGTTTGAGATGCCCTTCTTCAATTGCAGGTTTGTGGGTCACATTTTCCTTTCCATTTCTTCTCAAATTGATTAGTTGGGCGTCTAACATCTGGTTTGACCGCATAAATCTGGGATCACTTGCTAACTGGAGCCCTTTGTTGTATGGAGGAGCGTTTAGATATCTTTCAATGGCATGTCTGAATCCAAGCAAGGTGGATTTACTGTATGGCTCCCCTTTTTGTGTTCGTGCTTCGGCATAAAATCGTCTCAGATTCTGGTCCAGCTGGCCAGTCGTCATGTTTTCAATCGGTGTTTGTATTGCTTTCTCTGAACTTCAAGCTGAAATTCAACATGTAAGCGACTTTAAAAAAACAGTATTCTTTTTTTAAACGAATCTAAAAGAACAGAAGACTGAAAATGTGGAATAAATATAAGCCGTATGTCATTGTTTGTGCATCGAGTAGTCACTCGGTGAAGCAATTTTTACAGTTTAGTCACAGGTGGCCCAAGCGTAATATGAGAGTTTGTATGGGAAAAATAGAGTTTGAAACTTAGATGAAATAAATGAAGTAAAAGCGATAAAAGTTCTCAATTAAGTGTAAATATTGTTACCTGGAGTCGTTGTCTTTGCTTTTACGAAGTTTCAGTGCGATTTGAGTACTTTTACAGCATCTGACCTGACAGTGTAATAATAGGAGACAAGGTAGGACAGAATCGCTCGATCGATCTTCAAAGCAGCTCAGAATCAGCTCCAAATTTCACGCGAAAAAACAAACACACTTACATTTTACGCCGCCAAATCCACAAAGTGGTACGTTAAGATCACTTTCCTGCAATGCGTTCCGGTAAACCTTGCGTTTGGATCGCATAACTTGATCGAAAAGATCAACTACAGTTCAAAAATCGGCGCCATTTATCCGTGACTAGTAAAAGTGTAACATTTCAACCGTTTTGTCGCTCGGCGGTGACTGGGCGCTAACGTCAAATAATAACTCACCGGGAGAGGGTGACATTACTTCGTTAAGACAAATCTCCACTCACCCACCTCCGAGCAAGGTTGGCTTCTTTGTTTTTACTTGGCCAATGAACGAAGCAACAAAACAAAACAGAGAAGCCAACCTTGCTCGGAGGTTGGCTCGGAGGTGGGTGAGTGGAGATTTGTCTTAACGAAGTAATGTCACTCTCTCCCGGTGAGTTATTATTTGACGTTAGCGCCCAGTCACCGCCGAGCGACAAAACGGTTGAAATGTTACACTTTTTACTAGTCACGGATAAATGGCGCCGATTTTTGAACTGTAGTTGATCTTTTCGATCAAGTTATGCGATCCAAACGCAAGGTTTACCGGAACGCATTGCAGGAAAGTGATCTTAACGTACCACTTTGTGGATTTGGCGGCATAAAATGTAAGTGTGTTTGTTTTTTCGCGTGAAATTTGGAGCTGATTCTGAGCTGCTTTGAAGATCGATCGAGCGATTCTGTCCTACCTTGTCTCCTATTATTACACTGTCAGGTCAGATGCTGTAAAAGTACTTAAATCGAACTGAAACTTCGTAAAAGCAAAGACAACGACTCTAGGTAACAATATTTACACTTTATTGAGAACTTTTATCGCTTTTACTTCATTTATTTCATCTAAGTTTCAAACTCTATTTCTCCCATACAAACTCTCATATTACGCTTGGGTCACCTGTGGTTTAGTTTAATGAGCGAGCAATTTTTCGCTGTTATAACCTGTCAATTTTATGATAAAAACATTAAATTCCATCTTAAAAAGACAATCGTCGTTTTCCTTTTTTTACAACAAGAATTTAAATAAAAAAGTGTTACTTTTCTTAGCCTCAATTCATGCAGCCGATAAAAGTTAATGCACGAGTTTTGGTCGCTGACATTTAAATAGCTTTCGACGGGAGAAAATTAGTTTTCACTTCTAGCTTTACCATTTACCAATTAAGTTGTATGTCACAAAATTGCTGGAAAACATTGTGGAATTGTTACTATAGATGGCTTACCTCGAAAAGTTGAAACAGACCAGTTTGTTGTTTTTTTGGTCTTCTCTGAATGTCTTTGTTCAACAATATGGTTCAACTCCCGCTCGCTCAAATTTGCAAATCTCTTAGCGGACTTAGACGGAGGTTTCACCGAACAAGTTAAGGTCGAAATTTGGTAGTTCAACGTCGTCATGTCGAGAAGAGGCGCTAGATGTTTCCATGATTTTAGCGACAGAATAAGCTTTAAGATAAAAACTGGCGATATCGAGGAGAAAAAAAAAGGTTTCCGCAAAAAAAGTAAACAAACTGACGTCAGCGTGCAACCCACTGGCAAATGGATCCGGCGTATTAGCCAATCAGAGAGCGCGATTTCTTTCAGCTATGTTATATAAAATGAGTTTTTCACCGACTACCGCGACATAAAATTTAAACTTACCGCACACCGCTTGGACTCTGAAAACCGCAATACTGTAATTTGAAACGAAAAATTACCGCAACACCGCACCAAAAATAACCCAATACCGCAATACCGCAAACCCTTACGTCCCCCTCTTTATGCCTAAAACGGTTTCTGAGTCGTTGACTTTTTACAATTTCACAGCTCTCTTTCCTCAAATAAAATTCTATGATCTATAATTAATAGAATAGGTTGCGTTAGCCTCCGTTGCAGACGTTTTTTGTGGTTCGCTTAAGCGAACTAGTTTATGAATAGTAAATCGTAAGAGTCACGGTCAAGAAGTGCAAATCAATCAAGCGAAATCTGTCTTAAGTTTTGACTGGTAATGTGATTGGTTCATCGGTTACGATTACTTTCTATCGGTTCATACTCATTGCAACTGGTGTGAACAAGACTTTAGTTTGGCCACAGTTAAACTAACAAGAAACTATCCTTTGGTTGATATTCATGCGAAACAAAACCTAAGGTCAGCCCGGTTGAAACTTAATTATGCAATATGACACAAAACAATCTCTATTTACCCTTAAAGTTAGTCGGATTTGGAATAGCAGTATTTTGGACAAAATAAATAATAAAGAAACTAAAAACACTGTATATATCATAATACGATTTTTAGCGAACTGTCGCCTCCTCAAAACAGTGCGACGTAGCTCCTTTAACGGATAAAGAAATGGTAGAATGTCAGGGCGATTAACGAGACGAGAAACATTTGAATCAAGGAAGACTGCATCGGCAACAACAACAACAACAACATAAGGTTTATTTGCATGACTATAAGTATTTAGTTACAGTATTGCAAAAGCTTTAACATAAAGTTACAATTTATAACAATGATAATGCAATGCAATGATTGCTGCAGTCAATCAAGTGTCATCAGCATGATTTGATAACAAATTAGTACGTAAATCATTACATACTGAGACAAATTTCAAGAAATGTGAATTTACGGAAAAAATTCTGTGAATTCATCAATTTAATTATTAATTCTGTGTAAGATAGCTGATTAAAGTCGAAAACATCGAAACTATAGAAACCAAGGCAGAGTACTTTGATGACCGGTTGCGGCGAGAGAGCGCTTCACTTTTAAAACTAGTGATGGTGAGGTCATCTAGATTCTCTTTCACCCGTAATTCGAGGCTGACTTTGGATTTAGCAAGCTCCCTTGCTGTGACAAACTGTTGTGAAGCTAGCTTAGCAGCTGCTTTTGTAAACTCCAAGCAGTCTAAGTCCAACTCACGATAGTTCCCGAGCTGGAGGGCAGTTATATACGCCAAAACTTCCAGTGCTTTGATGCTAGTCAGTATGTTACAGCAGAGAAACAAACGGACATCCTCAAACTGTCAGGGGCACCCAACGACAATATTCGGAAAAATATCTGTTCGGAAGACGATTTGAGATCTAGAATTTTCGGAACATTTGTTGTAAAATTTCTTGCTTGCCTGCCTCTCCTAGGATTTTCGAACATCTAAAAATGGTAAAATTGCCCATTTTTAACGGATTTTTACCCTAAAAAGGTCACCTAGAATTTTCGGGAGCCTTTTTTCTGGCTGAAATTTTCGAACAGGTAAGTTTTAATCCCTATAATTTTCGGATCACTAGACTTTCAGCTAGGAAATCCGAACAGATGAAAAATTTATAGGGGATAAAAATATGCCCATATCCACCGTTTAAACACTAAAACACGTTTAACAATGCTATGTTTAAGTGGTTTTGAACTATATTCTCGTTGGGTGCCCCTGAAACTGTCTGGTCAGCGGACTGATATAGCAGCATATCGACTGGAATCGTCCGCCAAAAACGCCAAGTGCATACGAATAACATCAACTTCAAAAGAGGAACTGTACTCATGCCACCCTGTCGTGTTGTAGGGAGTTTCACGCGACTCTATAGGTATAAAATATAATACAGCGTGGCTATTTCGGATACCGATGAAGCAATGGTATCCATCCCATTCATATTCAGTTGTCGAGCGCACATCTTCAATAAGATCTCGGCCTTTCTCTGCTAGATTTTTTCCATCGGCCTGCAGACGGCTTGGAAGTACGTTCTGCCAGTCTTTGATTCGATCAAAAGTTGTCTCGGAAAGACCATCAACGTAGTGAGTCAGCTTGAACCCTTTTGATTTTGCTAGTGTGTCAAATTTAGCGAGATTACTGTCCAAATAAAACCGCCTAGTTTCTTGTGGTAAATCCCGTAAGACAAACAACTCCGATTCTACGTGGGGGTGGATTTGCGTAAGCGCTAACCTGAGATCAGGCCCAATTTGAGCGGTTCTCATACATTCTCTCTAACGGCTACCGCTGAAATTGGGCCTGATACAAACTATTACAAGTTTGTGCTCGTTATATTTTACGGCCAGATTTTGGCCGTAACGCTGATTGGCTGTTAGAACAATGCCACAAGATCTGATTGGCTATCGGAAACGCCGGAAGTTGAAAGCGCTTATTCCTCGCGTGGTTGTTTTCGTGAATGATCCGTCGTCGGTGGAGAGAAGGATCGATTTTGATCTTTTTTATTATTGTTTTATGGTTTTATGGTAGGAAAATATGCCTTAATATGTGCCATGGAAATTCAGAAAATTCATGTGGTTGTTCATAACTTCTCAGGATTTGCTTTATTTACGGAAAGTGAGTGTATCGCGGAGTTGAATCCCTCTGCAACTTGTTGACCGGTAACAAGGTGCATTTTGATTAACAGATAAAAGCTATTTTTTAAGTCAGCCAGTCTGCATTTTTCCCACGCGTGAAAAATTTGCATACTAGAAAAACAAGCAACGGAAGTAGTTCTGATTGGCTGATTCGGCAAATGTCAATCAATCAAAAAAAGTGGGCGGCAGACATTTCGTTAAGGGTTTGTATCAGGCTCTCTTTTCGTTTCGTCTTGCCCGCCGGAATATAATTTTCAAAGCGAAACGAAAATAGAGCCTGATCTCAGGTTACGTAAGCGCATTCAGTTTTATTCCCAGAATTCCATACGATTTTTGGCGGGAAGGTTCCAAAACAAAGTTAGGTTGCTAAACTGTTTTTAAGACTCTTTCCATAATCAATTTCATAGGCTGCCCAATGCGAGCATTTTGCAAAAGCCAAAGAGAAGAGAAAGCTATGGAGCTATGGATTATAATGTTGAGTCAGTATAGGGGGTCGGTCACACATTTTTGAACTTCTTGAAAGGGGTTGGCTGTCTCTAAAACTGCACATTAGAGGCGGGAAATTTGCAATTCCCGTATGGAAACAAGGAGGAGGGGTCATCACTTGTTTTTACCTCATTTTAGGGCCAACAAAAAACGAGCTCCTTCAAATCGAATTTTACCGCCCCCCACCTTACTTTATGACCAGTCCCTTAATGCACGGTCAAATATTTTCATATGTGCTAATACAAATGACGGTGGGGAGTGATCCACTGCGGGGAGGGGGGGTACTCCTTTTGTCCAAGTGGTAGGGGAGATCAGAGGTCTTATCTTAGAGTTGGAAAAATGTTTTCTGTGTGAACCTTTTAGGGGTTCCGACTCAAAAGTCAGTTACGTAACATGATTCCCTACCTTTTGGGGCCAATAGGCCATTTGCACTAAGAGGTCAGGTGACATCGTTTTTATGAAACTGAAAGTTATATGATTTTGCCTTCGAAAAACGATTAGTGGATCATATCTTAAACAAAATAATAGTGATTTAGCTTTTCAAACCCGCACCATTTTCTTCAAATAAGTAAGTTCGTAAATAGTCACGTGATCAAAATGTAGCCTGTGCACAGACGTCCTCCCTCCCTCAAAATGTGATTTTTAAAATTATGAATTATCTCTTTCTGAACACAAATTTTGCACTTAAACGTCAAGGAAAATGTTGAAAAGATGGTGTGGTAACGTTTACAGCACATCTGAGCGTAACTATCAAACGTTTATCAAGATATAAGCAAAAAGTAGCTTTGGCCGCCATGTTAAAGGGCAAGAGTATGCCCTCCAACATGGCGGCCAATACAAATCATACTACTTTGTTGAAAAATCAGTGTCATAAAATATCTCCCTTAAAAGCGTTTCCTCTCAAATTTCGGGTGTGAGACAGTTTTTATGTGCTGTAACAACTTTTGCATTCAGCAAGATTCCAACTTATTGTTTAAAGGAACCATTGGTCACGTGACCTCTAAGTGCAATTGGCCTATTGCTATTAATTTCCTTCCTTGAACAACAAAAAGATGTTATCAGTTACTGACCGTAAATGATATCTGCAATCATCAGTTTTTCATCAGCTTATCAAAGTTTTTGTTCTCTTTTGACGAAGACGTCATGTACAGTCGTACTCTTTAGGAGTTGAAATCAACATGGCTTCCAAAGTTCTTCTAACTTATGCGTACCTTTTAGGGGGGCGCTTTTAAAACCGACCACCGATTACCCCTACCACTTGAAAAAAGGGAGTACCCCCCCCCCCTCCGCGGGGAGTCACTATTCTTGTGCAAGCGTGCCACTCAGTTATTGTTGCATGATGATGTCAGAGACGGCACATTATTTAAGTTAACAAGGTCTCCTTTCTACATTACGCATTATTTAGGCATCTGAGATTCCTTTTGTTTAGAGATAAATGACATATGAAACAGGTTATTGTAAACCAGACACAACAGATTTTTCAACAAGATGGGTTGAAGGGATGAGGGGGGTTCAATTATTTTTCACGTATTTGTGACTAGTTTTAACTTTCGGTAAATATGCACCTATAAGAGGCAAGATGGCTACTGGAAGTAATTTGCCTATGACAGAAAAGGTCTATGGTTGATATGTGAATTCCCCAGCTCACCCCATACTCTGACATAAAAACTTCTGTCTCAAATTGCAATGTCATCAATCAACCCTTTGTGTCGTGTGTTATTTCAGATTTCTGTAGCCCTAGTGTATGCAGCCGAGGCCTATCACACGCGAGGCGCTATGAGACACGTGGTCGGCGATCTTCAAATGCATTCAGCTGTTGTCAAGGAAGGCACCACGGTGATGGATTACTGGGCGTCCATGATCGAGAACTGGGCTGATTCCAACAAGGAATATGAACACTGCACTGAACTCAAAGTCGAAGCTTGCCTCCTAAAAATGAGCAAGTACCTGCGCCGTACTTTCCACGCTATGAAAAGCATCTACAATATATTATCTAGGGTTCCTAACCCCGCAAATGCACTAAAGGCAGCCGGCCTTCTCCCAGTTTATCATTTACAGCCTGGAAAAGACCCAGAAACAATATCCCTGGAATGGGTTTCCAAGTATCGTGGTGTAAAAGATGAAATTCCCGACTTCGCAAAAAACATCAAGCCGTTCCTGGACACCGTTGGCTACAGTGGCCAGACTGCAAACAAAGCACTGGATTTTGAATGCATGAAGAGAATCCAAGCTCAAGTGATGTCTTATAACAACATCCTGGTGTCTGCAACAGCTAAAGATTCACCGGCCATTCAAGCTATCTTTACTTTAATGCCCAATGGAAAACAGAAGACTCGGCCTGTCCCGTAGATCCGCGAGAGAGTCGAAGAAATCAAACAAGCAATACATTGTATCACATGCTATAACGATGTATTAGAGATGCATTTAACGCATGATTGTTTGTACCGTTATATTTTGTTTTAACGAATGCAAAGTCAGCTGGAAGGCATAAATATTATGGCATTCTCTGATATGTGTTAAAAAATTGAAGAAATAAAATACACGTCAGGATGATGGACCCTTGATGCGAATGTTTCATGAAAATTCAAGGTGCTGTTACATATTAGGCAATTTCTCTGGTATAATTTGTTTCGCAGATTTGTTGCACGAGACATTGCCTAGTGTAACATACCAAAACTTTCTCGCTGCATTTGTTGGGATAAGTAAAACTAAGAGAGACACCAGTTATGTTACACAAGGCAATGTCTCGTGCAACTTGTGTAACAAATGTGGGAGACAAGTTGCTAGGAAAATTGCCTTGTGTATTAACGGCAACTCTAAGTTCAATGGATATATGCAGCACCAGGCATTTTCACAAATATGCCATATGGTAGCAAAGGCCACAGTCTATCAAAACGTTTGCCGCTGAGACCTACAATCTTGGACAGATGGGCAGAGGATAATGTGAAAACTCTGACCGTATTTTCGACTTTAAATATTGTGAACAACAAACTCCCCTTCCCCTCCAAGCAATGTTGGTCCAGCATAGGGAGGGGGGCGGAAGGTAACTCTACAACCTCGTCCCCAGGGCTTTTCCCTTAAAAAATGTAAAAAATGGGTGGGGCGGGAAAAGGCCCTGGCATCGGCTGGTCACGTGTACAGCCTAAATATTCCTGCGAAGCTAATTTATATGCAACCCGCTGGTTTTGCGCTGACAGAAGTCGAAGGGAGTGACAATGGAAAATATTACAGTCAAACCAAGTCAAGCGTACCCCCCAAGATTCTATCAGTGAATTGATTATTTGAAAAATGAATCCGTTAGTCGTTCCCGTAACTGGTGTCAAATTCAAAGCGGCATTTCTGCATGCGTAATGAGCAGTGAATATTTTACGAGAACTTCTCTGTATTTGGTCAGATTGGAAATCTTTGAATGGATTAAGCTTCTTCAAAGACATTTACATCAATTTCAGGAAAATGGAGCTGGTAGAAATTTCATAACTGCCTCGCGTGTGAATTCACGGCTCATTACACATACAAGAATGCAGAGATCAATCTGAAATCTACAACTAGCAACGGATTCAACTTTTGAATAATGGATTCTTGGGGGGTACGCTTGACCTGGTTTGACTGTAACATCGCGTGTGTGCGATTGAAAAGCTTAAAAGATCCATTTAATTGCACATTATTCAAATGCTACAAGTTTATGAAAGGGCGTACCTGCTCTACGTTGTCACGTACAAAATAAGTCAAATGCTTCAGAGTTGAACCAAGCTGTTAATCGGCTAGTACTTCGACTGAAATTCACCGTGACTGTCGAATTACTGTACGATCAAGCGAAGAGTGATTTTGTCCAATGTCAAACAAAGATGTGGGTCTTTGCCCACAGGATGTGCAGGGAATTTAAACAAATTGAACTTGATTGAAATAGAATTGTTCATCAAAATGCTTTATGGAGTCTGGTCTTCTCTAACCCGACCATGAAACAAACAGATCTTCTCGCCGGATGCAAATCAGCCCTTCAGCCAGGAACGATGACAGGTCGCCGATCTGAAAGCAGAAACATTTGAAGACCTCTGAAATCTTTTCTCTTCCGAGGATAAGTACAAAGGATTTTCCTTTTATCAAAGGGAAGATTGACTGATCGATAAGAATCAACTACAGCTCTGTCAATTTTAAATGGACCCAAGTCTTTCTCCGTTGCCAGTCGTTTGATCGCAGAGGTCAAATACAGGTCATAAAGGATAAGTCTAAACCAACGCGTGTCGCTATGATATGGCTGAGAGTTAAGGTAAATAGAAGTAGGCTGTGTACGGCGGCCACTTCGCAAGAAATGAAATAAAATATCTAAAGAGTCGAGAAAGCGGACTCGTCCAGTACATACTTTATGCATGTACGATAGCTTGTTTGTCATTTATACCGCTCTATAATCAAAGTTTTATAAATGTTACTCGCTTTTTCTTTCATAGAAATCGGAGGAAAGCAAAACTTTACCATGGCAAGCATCTTTGACGAAAAGGCAAATCTTCTAAAACTTTTCTTTAATCGTCAAGAGATATAAAAGGCCGCCCAAGACCGCGCGCTGTGAGGTTACGCATAATTTTAGCTTTTCTCATAGCGCAAATTTATTACACCCAGGATTTTTAGGGTGTACGAGGGGACACGTGACCAGCCGATGCCAGGGCCTTTTCCCGCCCCACCCATTTTTTAAGGGGAAAAGCCCTGGAGACGAGGTTAACTCTATTGCTTTCCACCTAAGTTTCTTGACCCACTCCGCCTGCCAGTATGACGTCACATAGTAACGGGCAAGAGCCTCCCAGGGTCGCTTGTGCAAATTAGCAAGGGATACGACAGTTATTTGGACGAGCGAGGTCGAGGAAAAAGCTAAGAAGCTAGCAAATATCGCTATTTATCGCTAATTTGATCGAATGAGTGTGAGCTTTGGTGTTGCTATAATCTGCTTGTGTAAACCGTTTTGATATTTTGCGTCCGTGATTGTATTATTTTGTTCATTTGTTCTGCGGGCCGTGTTGCGGGATCGCCATCTATTTCACGGGACCGGCAAGGTCACCAAACTTAAATCTTTTTTTTCTCTAAAAGAGGCAAGGTCTAGTCTCCAGAATAGGAGGTTCCATTCACAGATCACCCATGTTTATATTTCATCATCATCATCATCATCATCATCATCATCCTCATCATCATCATAAAACTAGACTAAAATACTCTAAGCAACTATTGACTATAATGTTAAAAATACAAAAACTTACATTATGAATAATAAGAGTTACAATGGGTCATAGTGTATTAGAAAAATCTTTCCCATGAATTGAAGTTTTAAAAACATTTAAAATAGGCAGTTTTCTAATCTCTGAGG